CTACTCAAAATTTCCTATTCCTTTAGCAGAACCCTCTCCTCAGGCCTGTTCTTTCATTCTTTCATCGGACCAGGCATAAAGAACTACCGGGAACACAAAAATGAATGAGAAAGAATCCTTTTCTCAAGGAACACTCATCTGTTGGAGAAAACAGACCTGAAAATAGGCAGTTAAAATTTGCTGTAATAAATATTCTGACTTTGTATGGAATCATAGAAGGACACCCCAGCTAGTCTTAGGAAGCCAGGGGAGAGTGTCAGGAAGAGGTGAAGAATTGGCCGAATCCCCAAATCAGGTGGGAATTAGTGATTCACTATTTATCAACCTGGCATCAATGTCTATTTAGATATTGTAAAAAAGCAAGATATATTGGAAAGTAGACAAATTAATACAAGTGTATTAAAATTCTAATTTTTATTTTGCCAGATGCTTAGAATCCTGACTGCCCCTCTAAAGAGCAACTCTCTTTAGAATTTAGATATCCTTTTTTAGATATCCAAAAAAAAATTTCTTTTTTAAATAGGGAAACAGTTTCTCTTCCCCTGCTGCCTCACCCTATTGTGCAAGAACTCACTGGCAATGCTTAATTTATATCCTTATTTCCCAGTACAGTGCCTTGCTTACCCTAGATGCTAAATAAATGTTTGTTTCTAAATACATGATTGGTTCCTGTCTAATTGGTTTCTATTACCCAACAAAGCATACATAAATTTTATTAAGTTTTTCTCCATGTGTCAGACACAGTGCTGAATGCTGGGGATACAGAAATGTCTAAATCCAATCTCAAGGGGCAACTAACACATTGACTCACAATACTATCTTCCCTCTAGATCCACCTGGATTCTTAAAAAATGCTGATGCCCAGGCCTCAAGCCCAAAGATTCTGAGGTAAATGATCTGGAATAAAGTCTGCTTACTGGTATTTTTTTTTTTAAAACTATCCAAGTGATTACAATATACAACCTGGGTTTACACTCTGTGGGAAAAACATACCCATAAAAAGGCAAATACCATGGTATAGTGATTAAGGGCCCTGGGTCTGGAGTCCCTGAGTTCAAATGTACTATCGACCTCTCCCTAAGCTGCGTGGTGATGATTTACCCAATCTCTCTGAGACTCAGATTCCTTATCTATAAAATGGGAACAGTAATAGTACCCAACTACTAAGATTGTCGGGAAGAATAAATTGGATAACGTGAGTAAAGCACTTTGTACAGTGTCTGGCATATAGTAGCCGCTCAGGTTTATCAATTATTATTATTTTGTTTGAGGGGTAGGCAGAGTGTGCTACGGGAATATTGAGAATTAGAGAAGACCTCTCAGTGGGAGGATATTTTCTTCCCTGACCAAGTGCCACCATGACTTTGTTGTACAAAATGGAACCCAGTTGTCGTTCCTGGAATAGTGACCTCACCAGGGACCCCTCGCATCCCCTCCAGCTACATGGATATCAAAGGCAATAGAGCGTATGCTAGTGCCTCATCTGCACAATGGGGCAAAAACACCTCTTTTCCAGAGTTATTGTGGGGGTGAAATGAAATGATCACATGAAAATTGCCTATCACATAGTAGGTCTATAACAAGTGTCAGCCCCTTTCCCTATACCAGGGCCACAGCAATCAAGCTCAGGCTGACTCTTCCAATAAGCATTATTACCAACATATCTGGCCACCCACTATCAGAAAACCTGGTCATTGGTTTATGCACTCATTCATTCATTCATTCACCCACGTGAAAAATGTATATTAAATACTACTAAATGTATGGCACTGTGACAGCCCCTGTGGATACAGGCATGACCAAACAGACACAATTCATGATCTTAGGAGCAGATGTTTTAGCAATGGGACCAGAGTATAGGCAACTAAATGCAAAATGAATTAATTTTTTCATTAATTTGTTCCATAATTATCCTAGTTATTGTTATTGTGGTAAGCGCTACAAAGGTATATAGGGGTTCAGAGAAGCTTCCCGTGGAAATAACTTTTGGGTTGGATTTTGAAAGATGGGTAGGAACTGACTGGGTGACAAGGAAGGAAGAGTGTTTCAGGCATAGGAAGAGCATGAGTGAGGGCCCTAATGCATGGGTGACACGAGGAGTTGAGAAAGCTGGTACCTTTAGGGTGGAGAGTAAGGAGATAAGTGTTATATGAGGTTGGCAAATCATGCACGGCCAGATCCCACATGACATCAAAGGCCACATTAACTATTTCTATCTTACTTCTACAAACAATGGGGAAGCTTGCAAGGATTATTATAATTAAAAAAAAAATAGGAGTGACATAGTCATGTGCTAAGGGGAAATGTGCAATTCAAAACCACAACTGTCTACTTAAGAAGGTAGAATCTATTGAAGAGACGCTTTTATTTCTTCAGAGTACATGGAAGATCTGGGTATCCAGGTTGGAGCTGGAACCTGTGGAGAGCCAAGTGTTTTACAAAATAAAGTGAAAATAACTCAGAGTTCCCGGGGAAATCGGGAAATTATGGGCTGAAGAGAAGAGATGGGAGGGAAAAGAGAACCAGGAGATGATGAAATAGGTTACTGTGTAGGGTGAGAGTGAAGGAGAAATCCCAGGTGGTGTGGTGGCCTAAAGGACTTGGAAGAACATGTCTACCATAAACATCACAGAGCATCAGACCTTTTACAGAAACCTTAAAATTTGTACAAGGTCCACTATACTCCCTGCTATGTCTATTTTTTTGTTGTTGTGGGGAGGAGGTGGTTATTGTTTGGCTTTATTTATTTTGTTTTGTAGAAATCTAGGTATATTAGTTTCCTATTGCTGCTCTAACAAATTACCACAAACTTAGTGGCTTAAAACAACACAAATTTATTATTTTACAGTTCTGAAGGTCAGACATCCAAAATGGGCTTCAATGGGTGGAAATCAAGGTGTTGGCAGGACCATGCTCACTGGAGACTATAGAGGAGAATCCATTTTCTTGAGTTTTTTCAGCTTCTAGAGTTTCATTCCTTGCATTTCTTGGCTTATGGTTCCTACCTCCATCTCCAAAGCTAGCATTACAGCATCTTTAAAAAATCTCTCCCTCTCTGACCTCCCACCTTCCTCTTATGAAGACCGTTGTGATTACATTGGACCCACCTGGGTAATCCAGGATAATCTCCACATCTCAAAATTCTTAATTGAATCATGTTTGTAAATACCCTTTTGCCATGTAAGGCAAAGTATTTGTAGATCCCTGAGATTAGGAATTGCATATCTTTGGGGAGGTCATTATTCAGCCTACCACATTAGACATCCTGCTGGTTTAATGGTGAGAAAGGAATTTGCCCTGATTTTGAAAAGTGAGGTCTGGGACATCTAGGTAATATGAAATACTATGGATTAAGGAGTAAATTAAAATCATCCGTTCCTTCATTATTTCTGATAGTAAGTAATACTCATAAATACCTGAAATTTTTTCTTGAAGCATGAGGGCAATATGTTCTGTTAGCATTTCATGTATTTGGCAAGTATTCATTGAGCATACATTAGGTGCCAGACACTGTGAGTTCCAAGGTACTCAACCAAGTGTAAGCTATAACATTTGCTTTCAAGAAACTTCAATTTTATGGGGCAGAAAAAGAAGAAAATTAGTAATTTCATTACAGTCGGATGAATGCAATGAAAGGTACACGCATTACAACAGCCACCTGCTTGACCCAAGGGGCCTGGAAAACGCATCTCAGATATATCAGTCAGGGTTCAATTAGAGACACAGAACCAGGGATTTGACTGTAAGCAACTGCGGGAACAGCTTAAGCAGTCTCTGCAAGGCTGTCGTCTTCACCTCCGATGCTGGAGCTTGAATTCTGCAGGGCAGACAGTTGGGAAGGGAAGAGAGGGTGCATGTAACGTGGGAGACAAGGACAAGATAGAACCCACAAGCTCAGAACTGTGTCAGTCTCTTACGGCCTCCAATATCCATGATGTTGATGATGTGGGTGTCCTGAAGGAGAAACTGGTGTCCTTTGTTAACAGAACTGAACCCACTTGACCCAGAAGTCAGAGAAGCTGAAGGAGGACTGAGCGGAAGGTGGAGTGGCTGCTGCTCCACACCAGCGAGGTGAGCCGGCAGAGAAATGAAAACATGTGTGAGCTACAAGTTGACAGGCTACAAAGCCGCAACACCTGAATCAACAGAGGAACAGGGCTTTCGTCTAACAGCAAGTAGTTTACTGTGGCTGGAGTGGTTTATGCTAGGGTGGAAATACAGGGGTGGGAGGAGGGTGAGGTGAGAGGAATGAAAGATGAGCCTGGAGCCTTAAGTCAAAACAGATCACCGAGGATCAACGTTCATACGTCAACTTTCTTATAAACCAGGGCAAAGTGTTTGGCTGGATCCTGATGGCAATGGGGAACCACCAACTTTGATTGACCATCCAATTTTCACTTTAGAAAGTTTAAACCAATTAGCACAGCACAATCTTCCCCTCGGGTCTCAGCTCTCCCCATTCTTCTTTCCTACCCCACCGTTGTATCCACAGCAAACTCTCTAGCTTCCCCCAACACTCTTCTCGCCTCAATGTCTCCACCTGGAATACATTTCCCTGCTCTCTTCCCCTTCCCCTGCAAGTTCCATTTCCTTCTTTGTGAACACCACCCTAGGCAGCATTCATCCTAGCAGGATGGAAATGACCATGCTGTGTGTCACTGGACTGTGACCTTCCTGAGGATGGGAACCTTGCCTATATCTTCCAAATATATATATTTGTGCCTAGCACAGTGTCTGGCACTTCGAAGGTGTTCAATAGATGCTTATTGATTGAATCAAGTTCCAAGAGCTTCTCATCAAACACTTTGTTCATATGATTTTTCAATTTTATTAGTGGATTTGATGAAGTAGGGTTTCTGATCACTGTCAGACAGAGAGAGGCAACAAATTCTCAGATTTCTGTATTTGAATGGAGAATTAAGAAGACACAGTCAAGGCTTCCAGAATCCTTTGGAAAACCATCTACAAATAGACTTAAGTTATCAAGAAGGACAGGAAAATTATTCCTTTTCAGAGGTGCACTTCAAGGCACGAGGGAACTTCTTCTTTCCTAAAATGTCTTTATAATTCTCATCCATAAGGCTTTCCTTGTCATTCTTCGTTTCTTTAATCCCCATAGGACTGACTGTCAGGTTGTTGGGCCCATTATAATTATAAAGAGGCTTCAATTTTTTGACGCAGATGAAGTTAAACAATCTTCGGAAGCTTTGTTTAAGATTTGAGGTGGTAAATCTATCGGCTATTTCCTTAAAAATGCTGTGGGTTATTTTCGCCAACTCCTTGATCACAGGGTCTTCATCCCGAAGCATTCGGTCAACAGCTGTAACAGCAGAAGGGTCTTTGGTTCAAGGCATCTCTCTGGGTCTGAAAGCCCTAACCCTGAATAGCCCCACCACCTTTCACAGAGTCTCCCTCCTTCCCTCCCCATCCCCTCAGTTCTCATTACTTTGAGTAATAGCATCCAGAAAGTTTTCTCCTCTATCCTCACCAGATTTTATTAAAAGAAAAATGGAAATATTCACTGAATATTGACTGAGTGGCTATTATGTGCGGGCATTCTGCTAGATAGCATAAATATATATTCATGAAGAGATTCACTATTGCTCATAATAATGAAAAAAGTTGGAGTCAGTCTAAATGTTCATCAATAGGGAACTGTTTAAAAATTAGGAATATCATAAAATGAAACAGCACACACATTAACGTGATGATGTAGATCCATACTTCTTGGCGTAAAAAGATGTTTATGATACATGAGTAAGTGAAAAATGTTATGAAACAGTTATGATAGTTTTAAAAATAAATATATAATAGTTTATATTCTTTAAAAATATCTGGAATAACATATATACCAAAATGCTAATATCATTATATCCAGATACTGGGCTTGTGGGAAATTATTATTTTCTTTCTTAATGAAAAGAAATAGAGAGGGGGAAAAAGGACAGATTTAGGAAAGAGAGAGGAGAAAGAGTAAGAGGAGGAGGAAAGAAAGAAGAAAAACATTCTGAGAGACATGGAGGGAAAATTATAGTGCTTAGTGTTTAGCAGGCAGTCAATAAATATGTGTTGAATAAATGAGTGAATGAATGAACATATGAATGAAAAAGGAAGGAAGATGATGTGTCAATGTAGGTTCATCAGTTGTAACAAATGCACCACTTTGGTGGGGGATGTTGTTAATGGGGGAGGCTATGCATGTGTAGGGGCAGGAGGTGTGTGGAAAATCTCTGTACTTTTCTCTTAATTTTGCTGTAAATCTAAAACTGTGCTAAAAAACAAACTCTATTACCAAAAAAAAAAAAGGAAGAAAGGCAGCCACCCTATTGTCTACCTCACCTGTTGTAATTCTGATCCCCATGGGGAAATAGACAGAGGCTAAGAGAGAGATGCCAAAGATCTAAGCATTTTGATAGAATAAACATTACTCTTCTTAAATTCCCTCTGGTGCAAGTGTACATTGCTTTCCTTTAAAATGTAAATTCTCTGAGGAAAGGGACTTTGCTTTATTTGTTGAAGATACACCTCAGCAGCTAGAATAAAGCTGTCACATAATAGATGCTGGGAAAATATTTGGTGGGTGAATGAATTCTCAATTCTGTAGTTCCTAAGGGCTCCAGGATGATAGTAAGATCTCAAATAATGAGAGAGATAGATGGAGAAATTGAAACAGATTGAGAAAGAGAGGGAGAATAGAAAAGAAAAAAAGATGTTTCTTAACCCAGTCCTTCCATTGATTCCCCCCAAGCACCACCCACCACTACCACTCTCTTTCCATCATCCCTGGCACCATTACAGAACTCACATGTTTTTGGGTTTTTTTGGTGAGGAAGATTAGCCCTGAGCTAACATCTGTGCCCATCTTCCTCTATTTTGTATATGGGATGCCGACACAGCATGGCTTGGTGAGCGGTGCATAGGTCTGCACCGGGGATTCAAACCCACAAACCCTGGGCTGCCCAAGTGGAGATCACGAACTTAACCACTACGCCACCAGGCTGGCCTCCAGAACTCATATGTTAATCAAGTCACAATAGTGAATTTATTTAGACCTATGCATAAAAATTTCATTATAGCCTCAACACTTACCCTCAAGCATAACTTCAATTTCATCTCTGTGTAGCAAATGGCCGCACAATTTTGCCAAGTACCCTAGGCACAAAGTAAAATTAAAGTTACCCCAAAACACATTATGAAAATACATTCTCCAATATTATCTATCTATCTTTATTGCTTTCGTCAAAGCAAAGCATCTCTAGATTATCCTTGAATCATCTTTTAGCGCTTTCAAATAACTATTATTTAATAAAACTTTTTATTGAGCTATATGTATGTGTATAAACGTGCCCAAATCATAACTGCACAGCCCTATGAATGACCACAAAGTGAACACTTCTAGCTACCACCTAGGTCATTAAATAGTATATTACTAGCATCCCAGAAGCCTCTCTCACACCCTTCCCAATCTGCAACCCCACCCTTCAAAATATGTTTTGTGTCTGCCTCCTCTTGCTCAACATTATATTGTGAGATTAATCCATGTTCTTTAATATAGCAATAGTTCATTTATTTCCATTGCTACATGGCAGAGGTTGGCGAATAGTTTTCTTGAAAACACAGCCATACTCATTAGCTCATTTGTTTACACATTATGTCTGGCTGGTTTCACCCTACAACGGTTTACTTGTTGCTACAGAGACCATATGGTACTCGAGGCTTAAAATATTTACTATTGGGCCTTTTACAGAAAGAGTTTGCTGAACCCTGCTATATGATATTCCATCCTATGAATGAAGCATCTTTTATCCATTCTGTTGATGATGGACAGACAATGTGTTGTTTCCAATTTGCAGCTATCATGATATGATGTTATTATGGGCATTCTTGTACATGAATTTTGGTATGGATTTATATGCACTGTGGTTTGGTTTACAGCTAGCAGTAGATTTATTGGCTGATAGATATGCTTATGTTCACCTTTAATTGTCACTGCCAAACAGTATCCAAAATGGTTGTACCAATTTTTACTCCCACCAATAATGTATGAACATTTCCATTGGTCGACATCCTCTCTAACTCCTGACATTGTTAGTTTTTTTCCTTTCAGTCATTCTCATGGGTTTGGTGGTAGTATCACATTGTGATTTTAATTTGTTTTTTGGAGGGATGATTCATAAGAGTTTTGTGTATTTATTGGCCATTTGGATATTTCTTTCGTGAAATGCCTATTCAAGTAAGTGTCTCGCCTGTTTTCATATTGAGTTGTCTGGCTTTTTCTTATTTACTTGCAGGCATTTTATATTCTGGATACTAATCTTTTAAAATGTTATGCACCTTACAAATAGCTTCTCCTACTCCACGGCTAAACTTTTCCATCTGTATTTTTTTTTTTTTGATGAACAGAAGTCCCTAATTTTAATGTAGTCCAATCCATCATCTTTTTATTTATGGTTATTTATGGGTGGCATTTTTTTAAAATTCAATTTTTTAGTTGTTTATTGCTAGCGTATAGAAACCCAACTGATCTTCATATATTGATGTTGTACCTAGAAAACTTGCTAAATTTATTTATTAATTCAAATAGTTTTTCTGAATTCTTTCCAATGTTCCAAATATGCAATTATTTATTGGCAAATTTTGAAAGTTTTATTTTCTTTTATCCAAACTTACACATTTTATTTCTCGTTATTACCTTATTTCAGTTTTGGAAAATTCTTGGGCATTATCTCTTCAAATATTTCTTCTGTCTCATTCTCTCCCCTCTCTCCTTACAGAATGCATATGTTAGACCTTTTAATCATGTCTTATATTCTATGTTCTTTTTGTAGTTTTCATTTTTATCTCTTCAAGCTTTGCTCTTGAGGCTGAATATTTTATTCTGATATCTAATTCTCTAAATCTCTTTCAGCTCTTTTTAATTTGCTGCTAATTTCATCCATTGAGTTCTGTATTCCATCTCATTTAATTTAATCTTTTGATCTTATTAATCATATTTATTTTAAAGTTTTTATCTAATAACTTCAATAACTGAATATCCTGAGTTGTGTTTCTATTGTGTTTGTTTTTTTCTTGTAATTAAAAATATTTTCTATATGTCAGTTTATTTTGATTGTATGTCAGCTATTATGCATAAAATTTTGTGTAGATAATTTGAATCTTTGGTCAATGTATCTTCTCCTAGAGAGAATCTTTTTGCTTTGGGCAGGCAGTTAGGGTAGAGGTATATGTTCTTAATCCACACAGGGAGTTAGGTATTCAAAGCTTCAATCATTATAAGGGCTGGTCTATTTCCCGTTTACTCTTACTCTTAGGGTGGAGACATGAGGGATCCCAGCTAAAAGCCTGGAAGTATTCACCAGGGTTCTTCCTCATTCTCAGTCCACTCCAAGTTTTGTTCGTCCGGCTCAGTGCGACACCAAAATTTCTGCACAGTTCCTCAGCCTTCCAACTACCATTTTTGCATTTAGAATTGGCAAAATCTAAAAAGAAAAATAATCTCCAAATATCAGGCCTACTTCTTTTGGTTTTTCTATTCTTCTGTTCTGGATCACTGCCTTTATAAAAGCTCTCCAATGTCTTCAGATAGGTTTTTAAAATCTTTTTGAGGCTGTTCTTATTATCCTCATTTTACAGATGATAAAACCAAAACTCATAGAGATTAAGTAACTTGGCAAAGGTCACATAGCTAGTAGAGTTCATTCTGAGATTTGAATGCAAGCTTATCTGACTCTCACCAGTATTTCATATTGCCTCTGCTTCAGTCAAAATAGTGACCACAAAATCACAACAATCGATCACTTTTATAATACAATCTACAGATGGTAAAGCTCACGATACTCTGTCGGCAGGTAGAGTATGGGCTTAAAAATTTAAGAATAATGCTTGAAACAAAAGCCTGTGTGGTAGGGGTATCTTTAATTGGCATGCTTTTCCACCTGCTTGATTTTGTAATCCAATGCAATTCCTTTTAGAATTAGATCGAAGGAACAAATAAATGAATGAAAATTTTCTATGCTAGAGAGTATTAATTTCTCCTAATATCAAATTGCTTTTTTTCCCTTTAGTTCTCTTACTAAAACTACTGAGTTTTAGCCGGACACATGGCCACCTAGCAGATGACTAGATTTTCAAAACTTCTTTGCAGCTAGGTGTGGCAACACGCCTATATTCTGGGCTAATGATCATTTAGCATGATATTTGCTCTTTAAAGAGATGGGTGCGACCTCTTGATATTTTTTCCTTTCCAAGTGACTGGCATGTAGAAGTGGTTCCAGGAGCTGGAGCACACATCTTGGACCTGATGTAGGAAGCCGTGTGATGAGAATGCTAGAGCAACAAAAGAGCTGGCGCTAGTCTACTTACACTTGGACTGTTACATGAGAGAAATAAATTACTATCTTGTTTAAGCCATGGTTCTATTTGGGTCTTTCTTACACTGCAGCAACTTATTTCATAAACACAATATTGCCACACTGGAACAAAACAGGTGGCAAAATTAGGCAAAAACATCTGAAAATTAAATTGCTCTATTGAAAGTCACAAATGAACTTTCAAAGAGAATTTGATGTATTGAAAAACATGGCAGATGAACTAAAATGCCGACAAGGCCCACGTGGGTGTGATGTCAGCTATGTGGAAGAATGCAGTTGGTGGCGGTGTGGAGGGTGGTGAACAGGAAGTACAAGCTCCATCCACAAGTGGGGCTGATGGTCGGCTCCGCTCGGCTGCTACCATGCAGTAACACAGGTTCAGTGTAGCCTTATCTTCCTTTTCCTCCCGCAAAATAATTAGAAATCCAGATACTTCTGTAAAAACTCAAATTTTAAACGTTGGCAATTGTGATACACTTCTAGCTGCCAATCCAATTTCATTGTCCCCTTCTTGCCCATTTAAAAAACCATATTCCAAGCATCTCATGGAACTAATGGCGGCACTGTGAAAGTTCTGATCCTTGAGGGGGTAAGATAAACCACTGGCTGGGACTTTGAAGAACACTTTGTAAAATTGGGTTGATCCAGCCACACCTTCTGCCCTTTACCTTTTTGTTTTTTCCTTGGTGTAACACCATTAAAATGCTGAAGGTAATCAGAAAATGCAAATGGGAATAAAAGCCACATGTTAAGGATGGATGGCATTATAAAGTCAACAATGCTACGAACATCTATGTACATACATCATTTCTCACATGTGAGTATATCAGAGGACAAATTTTCTTAAGAGGAGTTTACTGAGTCAAGAGAATATGCATTTCACATTTTGATGAATGTTACCAAACTGTTCTTCTTAGAGATTGTAGCAATTTACACTCTCACCAGTAAAATGATTGCCTACTTCCTGCAACCTGGACAAAACTGTGTAGTATGAAACTTTTTGATCTTTTTCAATTTGATGGATAGAAACATTTCATTATTTCAACTTGCATCACTTTTTGGATGAAGTTGTGAAAATTTTATTTTATGAGCCAAATATTTTTTTTTCATGTTCTTTATCCATTCTTCTAGTGGGTTGTCTTTTCTTATGGACTTGTAAGGATTCTTTAGACAGTAAGAATTCATCCTTTCTAAATGATAAATGTCATAATTATTTTATCCCAATTTGGCTTTGACTCTGTTTATAGTAGTTTTGCCTTGCAGAAATGTTTACTTTTTACAAGGTTTATCAGTCTTTTCTTTATGGTTCCTAGATTTTGACTTTTAATGAGAAAGATCTTACCCCATGATTATAAAGCAAATTCTTCCACACTGTTTTATTTATTATTATGGTTTCATTTTTAGCATTTGAGCTTTTGACCATCTGGAACTTATTTAGTGTAAGAAGTGAGACAGGAATTAAATAATTTTTAAAATTCCAGATGGCTCACCAAGTGTCCCCAAACCATTTAAGGAATATTCTATATTTTCATCACTGTTAGTTAAAGCCAATGATTCACTTGCTAAAATATTGCATGTTTTGGGGGTTATTTCTGGATCGCATTTTGTTCCATTTGTCTGTCTATTCATTCCATGTGATTTTGATGACTGTAGCTATATTAATATCTGAGAGGGCTGGTTCTCTCTCTCTCTCTCCCTTTTTTCAGTTAGAATTTCCTGGATATTCTTGCATATTAACTATTCTGCATTAATTTTAGAATCAACATGTCAATTTTTTTTTTT